TTTAGCTGACACCACTCTGATACGAGCTTTTTCTTTCCAGTTTGTAATGTTGAGGCAGATGCTATGCAAAGATTTCTCACGGCGTGATATTGTTTGGTTCACAGGCTCAGACTGCATGAAGAAAAGATAATTAAAGATCGGAGACATCACCTGAAGACGTATCCAAACTGCTTCGTTGCCAAAGAACTGATTGACTGGCTGATTGATCACAAGGAGGCCTCTGACAGGGAGACTGCAATTAAACTAGTACAAAAATTACTGGATCGTAGCATCATTCACCACGGTGAGTGGAGAGAATCAGCACATCCGAGCCCAGAGCCAGAAACTATAGTTACTGGTGCAGGCAGGTCTGACCCGGTGATTGTGATGTGTTGTTAGTCAATATGAAAGAACAAAAACCTAAATAATGATTGTGAAGATTGCTTAACTATTATAATAGCATTTATATTTGGAGTGTTTAGCATGCATTATTTTAGGGCCAAACCAAACACTGCATTGTTCACATTTTTTAAAGTAATAAAAGCCCTGTTTATTTTAAAGAAAAAGCAGCTGGATTAAATCATTTTATATATATATATACACACACACACATACACACACACACACATATATATATGTACACACACACACACACACATATATATACATACACAGTATATATATGTGTGTGTGTGTGTTTAATTACTTAAACCCAGGGCTAGCCAATGTTTTGTCCTTCAGATGATGTTGGACTACAACTCCCATCAGCCTCAGCTAACATTTTCAGGGGTCAGAAATTATGGCAGTTGAAGCATAGCTGTCAACGTTTCCCCTTTTTAAAGGGAAATTCCCATATTCCAAATAGGATTCCTCGCAAGAAAAGGGAAAAGTTGACAGCTATGAGTTGAAGTCCAACAACATATGGTGAGCCACGTGTTGGACACTATCAGACCCCATGCACAGATAAAATCCATAAGTCTCTCTTACCCACAGTCTCAAAATCTGAATAAAAATAAGAGACTGAACACTAGTTTGGTAGGAGTACAAGAAAGCAAAAAAGAAAATTTGCAGAAAATTAAAATAAGATGTGTTAATTAACCTAACGACAATAAAAGGAGCAAAGGGAGCAAAGCAGAGAAAAACCAAAAAAAAGGGGCTATAAGAAATGATGAAAAACATGAAATTGCATAAGGGAGTTTAGTGAAGGAAGATAAGAAGGGGTAGAACTCTGAAGATAGTTGAAACTTATAAGACGTTTTGAATAAATATTGGACAATGGAGGGAACTGTTAAAGAGAAATATACAGAGATTTAAGTGCATAAAAGAAAATGAAATAAGTGGACAAACAGAGATAGGCTGCAGCTGAGAGACAAAAAGACCAGTAATTGATTGGCCGTGTTCACATGTAACAATAAACTGGGGTTTGTAGCTTACGCTAAATAAAGATCTAGCCACTGCATGCTGCCCACTTGCTTCGACTTCACTCCTCCCCTGGTGTAAGCAGGATAAAGAAACTGGGAATTGTGGTTTGCTGCTTCTGAACAAAATGCCATTGGTAAGTCGGCAACAAACTATGGTTTCAGGTTGGCCAGCGATCATGAATCTCTAGATAGCAACGATACAGGATCTCATCTTTGAACATAAGGAGGGAAGCCAAGTTTAGCTTCCCTGGTTTGTTTAGCCTGCGCACACCAAAGGAGGCTCAAAGTGGGAGCAATTGGGCAAATTGCTTATTCGTCATAAACCACAATAAGCCAGAAACCTATCATTACCTGTGAACACGGCCATTGATCACAAGATAGAAAGAGAGTTTTGATAAGTGGTGCAAACCTATGGCGGGGCCCTGTTTGTGGATTGCCTTCCCTTCTAAGAAATGGCTGGTGCTGATTCTTATTAGTTCACAATGCAAGCTGAAGGTCCACTTGTTCACTTAGGCTTTTGTTTGGTGTTGCAGTTTAAAACAGGAATGAGTGTGACGTTCACATATGAGAGTGCTGGAGGTGAAATAGTTAAACAAGTTACCCAATCAGAACCCGGGGGTGGAGTCAGAGGGACTATAAAACCAGCTCTGGGAGGGGTGAAGGGGGGAGTTTGTTGGGAGTTGGGTGGTTGGTTGGAGTGGGAGTGAATTGGGATAGAGTCTGTGGGTAGGTTGAGTTAGTGTGGCGAAATAAGTTGAGTCAGGAACAGTTAGGAGCTAGGAATACAAATAAATATCTGAGAGGTGGTTTAGTGAGTGAGAGCAGGTAGCGGAAGTTATAGGTCTGGATAGGCACCCCATGATTGTAATTGACCGATACCGTTTATGAAACCACACGCTTATGAAACTGCAATAAATAGAAGTTTATGTTCCAATTTAACCCTGACTGGACTCAGTATTGTCCCAGGTAGGGCCTGGGTGGTGGCAGCGAGAAATAAAGTGGTGGCACAGGGATCAATAGACGGTGAAACGTCCGGGGACCCTGTGTGATCGCCACAGTGAGGATTAGATGTTATTCTGTTTCCGTGTTACGCTGGTTTTAATATGTGTTATTTATTTATTGTTGTATGCTGCTTTGAGTTACTTTTGTGGGGGGAAAGTGACTTATAGGTTTAATAAATAAATAAATAAAGTGAAATACAACTGTTACTTCTTCTCTTTCAGCCTGTAAACTTTGCACAAATTACTATTTGTGGGTTGCTGGAGTCAGTGTAGTGGTTAGAGGATCAGGGAGACTTAAACTTAAGTCCCCACTCAACTACAAAGCTCTGTTATCCTCCAGCTTAACTTATCACACAGGGCGCTATGAAGATAAAATGGTGGGGGACAGAGAACAATGAAACACCACCCCATGCTCCTTAGTGGAAGGGTGGAGTAAAAATGCAATAAACTATAACCAACAGATTATTATTTTTTAAAAGGTCAGTAATTCCCCCCACCTATAAATGGCTGCTGATAATACAATAAAGCAGGAATACGTGCAGAGCTTCACAAACTAAGGTTTTTTTTAACGAAGTACAATAAAAGGTCAATCGTTTTTGTGGTTTATCTGAAGCCTGTTTTTTTTTTTGTAAAGGAAAACAATGATTTAGTATCTGCATTGCTTCTAGATTCATAATGATGATTACTGCAAGTTCTTGATGAGAAGTGTTTACTATTTCTTCTTCTTCTGGGTTTTGCACTTCAGTTTGCGATGAGCATAAGGAATTCAAGGACCTCAAACTTTTCTACCGCTTTCGGAAAGATGATGGAACGTTCCCACTTGACAACGAAGTGAAGGCCTTCATGAGAGGACAGAGGCTCTATGAAAAGTAGGTTGCACACAGAACATTGACAGTGTTACCTGCTCTTTATCGGCTTGCGTTGATTAACAACTAGAAAAATGGTCTTACATTCGTAGGTTCTTACTGAATTGCATTATCCTTTATTAAGAACGGCATCTTCCGTCTCCTCAGTTTTCCCAAGAGAAAGGTTATACTGACAGAGATGAGTCCTGAGCATATAATTAAGATTTGAAACAGATGGTTGGATGGAGATTCTGAATATCCTGTCAGATTATATGGGTCAAATAACAGAGGAGTTTGCCACCTGCGACGAGGTCCGTGTCATTTTTGCTCAGACTGAAGGGGTTGTTTGCAGCATGCCTGATTTAGGCGCAAGTAGCAACAAGTACAACATGTGAGCTGACATTTACTGGAAATGGATATGCAAAAGGTGAACAGATTGTTCAATTCATGAGGGGTGTTTTGGTACAACACTAGCATTTATGAGCAGCACACGTGGCTCTTTCAGGTGCAAGGAACAGAGTGAAATGTGTTTTTATTTGTCTGACTGCAGCTAGGGATGGACCAACGTGTCAGCTTTGTTTCCTCTCATTTTCTCGTTTCCACAAGCTTAAGTTCTGTCCCCTGCATTACTCTGCAATTTTTCTAAGTCCTCAAGACAATGCACCAGCATTTTAGTGTGAATTTCTCATTAACATGCACGTTTGTATGGAATTTTGCCTAATATATGCACTTCTGCAAAACAATTTCCCCTGAAACAAAGCATTTTTCTGTGTTACTCTTACCAATAAACCAAAAGATACCTCAGGTCCCAAATGCCATATATAACCAACTTAAAGGTAAAGGTACCCCTGACGGTTAGGTCCAGTCGCGGACAACTCTGGGGTTGTGCCGCTCATCTCGCTTTATAGGCCGAGGGAGCCAGCATTTGTCCGCAGACAGTTTTTCCAAGTCATGTGGCCAGCATGACTAAGCCGCTTCTGGCATACCAGAGCAGCGCACGGAAATGCCGTTTACCTTACCGCTGGAGCAGTACCTATTTGTCTACTTGCACTCTGAGGTGCTTTTGAACCGCTAGGTTGGCAGGAGCTGGGACCAAACAACGGAAGCTCACCCCGCCACAGGGATTCGAACCGCCGACCTTCCAATTGGCAAGCCCTAGGCTCTGTGGTTTAGACCACAGCGCCACCCGCATCCATAACCAACTTAGAAATAGCAAAACAGCGAAGGGCCTTCACTTTGGCCCGATGCCAGGCCCTCCCCTCAGCTATCCAGGAAGGCCGTTTTATGGAAGGTACCATAGGAGGAGAGGAAATGCCCTTGTGCCTCAGGGCAACTAGAAACTACAGAAAATGTCTTCTTCCACTGCCAATATTATGCAGACGTATGAGTCAGGTTCTTCCTGCCAATACTACACAAATTCCCTGGACGGACAGAGCAACTCTACACCCCCTTGCTACTTCAAGACGCATACCCAGACGTAACCTACACAGCAGCCAGATTTTGCGCTGCTATGACGGACATTCGCCGAAGAATGGTTTGGGTCACGCACCTGACCTAAACTGAAGGCTCATATGCAAGACCCGTGCCCTCTCTTGCACCCTTCCCTTCCATAGTTATTTTAGCAACTGCTTGCTTTCAACCTTCTAGCTGATTTTAAGGCTCCCTCACGCATCCCCTTAAGTCACCCCTTTTATCTGTTTTATTTCCTAAATTCCTGTGTTTTCTGTTTTAACTTACGCTGGTCTGTGACCGTCATAAAGTTGTTGTTGTTGATGATGATATTTGTAGCAATATATGCATTTTCATGGACTCTTTACCCCAGTTTTTGCATTCTTGTACATGTTACTTGCTTGGGGAACTGCATGGCATGTACTTGCCCTCAGAGGGGAAAAATGCATGTGAGAAATGAAAGAAAGTAGGTGCTTTGTAACACTGAGAATTGCATTCCAGAGCTGTCTCAAATAGTGGTTTGTCTGTCAGATGTCCTCAGGAATCTTACCTAGCATAACAGAAATGGCTAATCCGTGTAATGATGGGCGATATACAAATTTTAATAATAAGGAGGTTGAGTATGTTTGCCCCTAGTAAGGGACTGTAGGAGATCAGAATAGGGCTTGGGAAATACAGTGGTACCTCGGGTTAAGAACTTAATTCGTTCTGGAGGTCCGTTCTTAACCTGAAACTGTTCTTAACGTGAGGTGCCACTTTAGCTAATGGGGCCTCCCGCTACCACCGTACGATTTCTGTTCTCATCCTGAAGCAAAGTTCTTAACCCGAGGTACTGTTTCTGTGTTAGCGAAGTCTGTAACCTGAAGCGTCTGTAACCCAAGGTACCATTGTAAAAGCAAGAAGCTGTGGCCTTTACCAGATGCTGTTGTTGTTTAGTCGTTTAGTCGTGTCCGACTTTTCATGACCCCATGGACCAGAGCAC